AACGCGGGCAAAAGGTCACTTACAACCGAGGATCCCGCCACGACCCCATATCCGCGCCATAGCGCCGGCGAAGCTGTCGCCTCGGTTGGCAGCCATGGTCGTCTTGATCACTTCCAGTGGCTGGAAAATTGTGAGCGAAAGACATCGAACCCCTGAAAATCAATGAAATATACCTGTCCCAGAGTGGTGACCCTGCGTTGCCTATTAGTCCCTCGACTCATAGTTTCCAATCAAACGAAGGAGCTGATGGGAGAAACTTACTCGAACATGTTCAATCCTGCACCGACTGTATTTCCAATAAAATTAGAATCAGATCATAGACTGCAAGTTTTGCTGGTGTTGCTTATGATCCATGATGGGGAAGAGACATACGTAGCAGATTGCTGAACTTGACAGGCTTCTTCTCGAGAGCATGGCCGGTAGAGGCCTTCTCAGCAGTAGTGGCTGACATCTCTGACCTTGGGGTAGCACTGAAAGGGGCCCTGACCAAGGGATGTAGGGGGCTTCGTCGCCTAAGGGATCACGAGAATATAAGAGCTGTTCGCGAGCGAAACTGTCAACGGCGAGCAGAACAAGGAAGCTCCGTCGAATAAGGTTGACGATAGAGACGGGGGTGGTAATGAATTGAGCCGGCGGGCAAAACAAAACTTTAATTGACAAGACAACGGAGGAATGGTAGAAGAAAGGAGGTGGGGGACGCAGAGGGAAGTTATAAAGCAGCAGGGGGGAAGGGCCTTGTTGCTTTGAGTATGAATCCTACACTGTACTTCGTAGTACGTGACGGAGTTGGATGACCGACTAATTAAGGCTAAGGTAGTAACACGTTGTTGGCCTCAGGCCTGGAGAGCTTCCCCCTTCTTTTCAAGGCGGACTCCTATTTTCGGTGGATTGGGGAAACACTAAACCATATTAAGCCATTATCGGGCCATTTGGTGCACTAGACCCATTGCGGGCCGGCGGTGTGATTTGGCCCGAGGACGGATCGGATTTGAGTGGCTGTTGTGCATTCTGGAGCCACGGAGCAAACCGGGGCGCTCCCAACATCATCAACATTACCTTATTCATGTTTGGTTGAGAGATCAAATCTGCGCCATATCATTCATTGCTCGTGATTATTGCCTTGATCGCCAACTGGCGTACTCATATTCACCCCTTTCTCGAGATATCTGCCATTCCACTCGGTTCCCGCCCCCAAAAAGGAAAAAGAAATGGGGACCTGAACACTTCATAGATAAATTCGGATGGACGTGAATTGTAATCGTTTTCTACTCGACCCTGAATCCTATCATACACCAATCAAAGAAAGCCCACGATACTCGGCACGTCCAGTCTAGTGTAATCAAACGTGTGAAAAAATAATACAGATTGCTCTACTTAATCATAATCGAGGAAGATGGATCCCTGCCCGTTTTTGTCATGTCATCTCAAGAGGAAATTTACAGCTTAGCTCCAACGAGCTTGGCGTATGCCTCAGTGCTGAAACTCTTGGGGCGCTCAATGGGTGCACCGAGAGCACGGTCGATGATCAGCTGGGGCAGGACACCGAGGGCACGGGAGACGCCGAACAATACAGTGTAGTAGTTGGCCTCGGTCAGGCCGTAGTACTGGAGAAGAACACCAGAGTGCTAGAGATCGGTCAGTCTACCGTGATCGCCCGCCATATTGAAACAATCCTGAGAAGGGAGGAACTTACGGCGTCAACGTTGGGGTAGGGGTTTTTGGTCTTGCCATGCTCCGTCAGGACACCAGGAGCAATCTTGTAGACCTGGCTGACCAGCTTGAACATGGGGTCATCGGGAAGCTTGCGGAGAGCAAACTCGCGCTGAGAGACGTAGCGAGGATCGGTCTTACGAAGGACGGCGTGGCCATAGCCAGGAACGACCTGGCCGGCGTTCAGGGTGGACCAAAGGTAATCCTTGATGGCCTGGTCGCTGAGGTCGTTGCCAATGCTCTTCTTCATCTTAGTGAGCCAGTTGAGCACTTCCTGGTTGGCCCTGTTGGAGAAAGAACACGATTATTAGTAAAACGATATTTCTTCCAAGAGATCGCATTCACACCAGGGGCCGCTTACAATCCGTGCAGAGGACCAGCCAATCCATTGAGACCGGCAGCAAGAGAGAGCATGGGCGAGCTCAGAGCACTGCCAACGAGGTGGGTAGTGTGGGCGCTGACGTTTCCACCCTCGTGATCGGAGTGGATGGTCAGGTACAGGCGCATAAGCTCAACAAAGTCATTGTTGTCACCGTAGCCGAGCTGGTTAGCCAAGTTGAAGGAGTAGTCCTTGTCCTTCTGGATAGGAGCGACCTTGCCATCCTTGAAGACATTGCGGTAGATCTTGGACGCAATGGTGGGGAGCTTGGCAATGAGATCCATGGAGTCTTCGTAGGTGTAGTTCCAGTAGTCCTTCTTGCTGATACCCTTGGCATAGGCCTTGGCAAAGGCAGACTCGTGCTCCAGAGCGGTAACAGCCAGGGAGAACTGAGCCATGGGGTGGAGAGTGCTGGGGCAGCGGTCGATGAGTTCCTCGATAAACTTGGGAAGGTCGGAGCGAGCAGCCCACTCGGCAGACAAGTCGCGAACCTGCTGCTCGGTGGGGATCTCACCAGTCAGCAGTAACCAGAAGAGACCTGAGTATTCTTAGCACAAGCTTTGTGAGACGTTATCCGGATTCTTGTACCTTCAGGTAGGGGCTCCTCGCCGCCGGGTGCCTTGGGAAGAAGCTTCTGGCACTCAGGGATCTGTCAAAAAGTGAGTATGCGCTGATTACGAATAGCACCGCCAACGAGGGCCTACCGTGTAACCTCTGAAACGAATACCCTCCTCGGAGTCAAGAACAGAGCCCTGGTAAAGAGAGTTAACTGGCGTTCACATCATCACCAAGAGGGAGAAAAAGGCTCTCTGAACCTACCTCCCAAACGAGGCACTTCACACCACGGGCGCCACCGTAGGCCTGGTCAAGAGTAACCTCGCCGATGACCTTGCTACCATGCTCTCTGTGAACAACCGCTCGCTTGATTAGCACTCGCTGTCTGGTAGGTAGCAATTCAAAATACGCTGTGCGCCTACTTTCTGAGCTTCTTAACCTTCTCGATCTCACCGGGAAGCTTATCGGCGAACGTCTCCTTGAGGGACTAAAGGAAGAAGCGATCAGTAAAGAAAGCTCGAAACATGACAATTGAACCCAAACAAGCGTCACGAACCTTGGCCTTGCCAGTCGAATAGCAACGCAAGCCGTTGAAAGCAGCGGACTGCACGGCAGGCTTAGCCGTGATAGAGGTGGAACGAAGAGCGAAGGTTCCGAGTCTCATTGTGGAAGCCATCTTGTATCAAACAACTTATTGAAGTTGAATGTTTGGTATGGAAAGGAAAAAGAGGGTATATTGGAGATCTTGGTGTAGAAAAGGAGAGGTCAAAAGGAGGGAGGTGTCCAAAAGTTGAGGGAGAAGCTCTTCTGCGGCCCTTTTTTCCATCTGACCGTATCGGTACAGCCGGTACACGATGTGACCGCAACGACCAGCAAGGAAGCGAGGCAATGATGGCAACAGCGTGTACTTCCGTACATTACGGTAACCCCCAACCCAAGGGAAGACGCAGCCGGACTCCCGAGTGCCAAGCCACCTCTCTTTTTTTTTTTTTTTTTTTGGCGAGCTTCCTTGCGATGACGGATATTACCGTATTTGCGCCAACCAACGTTGCTGTTGGTTTCTCTGCAACTCCACCCGCCAAATTCCGTCGCACGGTAAAAGAGAAACGGGAGCATGGAGTACCTACCTTAATAAACTAAGGTGGTGCCAAGGACCGATTCTAAATGATGAGAGGTATGGCACGGCAGGAATATGTACCTTAGTCAATATGGCACACTATACCTCTCTACGGAGTACGGAGTACAAGTACCACTATTGTATTTACCTAAGATACATCATGGAATTTCATCGTTTGCCCTTCCAGGAGTAGGAAACATGCTTTCGTAGGTGGCTCTTGGCACAATACCTATAGATAACTCGAGGCTACCTTATGGTTGGTGACGTCGGCAAGTCGCCATCAAAACTGTAGCCCGTGAACCGAGCCTTGCGACTGGCTCAAAGAAGTAAACTGATCTAGAAGAGGAAACATGAGGTTCCTATAGAGTTCTATCCAAAAAATTAATGATAACAAATCTAATTGAGGCTACGGGGCACCGTTGTTTCCTTTAAATAGGGATGTAAAAAAGAATCACTTGAACATGAGATAATATAAAGAGGTAGATGGCTATGTGCAATACAACACAATCCCCCCAGTTGTTCATGACGGGAGTTTCCTGATTCGACTCACCGAACTGAGCTAGCCTATTACTTACCTTGCAAGAGCTGTAATTAAACTGATTGAATCACGTGCATCATGTGATTAATGAGGAACTTGAAAAAGAGTGTAGGCCTTAGGCAGACACCAGAGTTTGTCCTCCCAGATTGAGACTAGCTCAAGTCACTGGACTCCTTCACCTGACTTGTCCTTTTTTCCTTTCCTTTCATCAATCCCCCTGTCCCTTCATCAACCTTCCATCTTCTCTCCGTCCCAACAACGTAAATTACATCCGATTTACCTTTACATTCTTCTTCACTCTGCATCCTCTCACTTAGGTTGTACCCTGTACTTGTACTCGCTCGCGAGTCGCGAAGCCCTGGGCACCTTGCTAGCTGTGTTCCAGCTGTAGGCGGAAGGCTCGTTCGTCGCCATCGTGCTCGTTGAGTCTGTAGTGACACGACTACAAGTGTGAAAAATCCGCTCTAGACAAACTTTGCTCACTTCTGAGAGGAAGCCAGCCATTGCCAATTTAGGCATCACCAAATCTCTACTGTACTGGATTTTCCAGTAGAAACGCCTCGTTTTGGAGCTTTGATACTCTCAGCGTCTTATACATTCTCATTCCAAGCCGGAAGTGTCTGCCCGTCTCACTCCAGGGAATTTTGGTAATTGTATGTCTTTCGTACCGCGCTGAGAACCTCGAACGACCATTATCAGCTATGTCTTCTGCTGTAGCAGAGTTGGAGAATTATCTCCAGTCTATGCTGGCTCTGAAGCCCCCAGGCGTTTCTGGATCTAAGATCAACAGCATCACGTCACTTTGTACAGCCAACGTTCAGGTATGAACAAATCTTGATATGACCACAAACTTATGTTACCCGAACTACAAGCTAACTCCTGTCTCTTCTCATAGAACGAGTCCGTCCTTATTCAGAAGATTTATACACACTTCAAGAAGGCACCGGGAACACACAAGTTGGGCGTACTCTATGTCGTAGACTCTGTAACTCGACAATGGGTAGAAGCAGCGCGCAAGGCAGGCCAGCCATCTGGCAGTGCTGCCCCCGATGGAACATTCGCCGCTGGCGTCAACAGAGTGACCGAATTACTGCCTGTCTTGATGACTGATATCATAAACAACGCCCCTGAGGATCAAAAGGTACGCTTTAGATGCAACACGCGAATAATTTTGAAGCCGTTACAGGATTTGTGGAAAGCATAGGAGCGATAAGAAACGGTGATTATTTTTGTATCCCGTGATGGCTTCCCATGCTCCCAAATCATCGTATCCCTTTCTCGTTCGCTTTAAGCAGCAATTTTTCCTTTAGGCTTCTGCTATCTCGTGTGACGAATAGTTCAACTTACGTATGCCACTCTCTCAATATATAGGAAAAGATCAAGAAGCTGGTCGATATCTGGGAACGTGGATATACATTCCCTGCATCCATGCTCGCATCATTCAAGGAAAAGTTGAATGCGCCTGCATCTCAGAGTAAGCTATCCCTTCTAATCCCCCTACGAAGCAAGAGTTGGTCCTGGCGTCCGTGGGATCTACCCAATCATTCTAGACTCAGGGTTTCTAGTTGCAACCGCTTTGGTATCATACATCTAATGCCTCTCCCTAGATGTTGAATCTACCACTCCCGAAGGATCACCTGCACCGAATTACATTTCACTGGGAGGTTCGCAGCAGCAGGGAAATGGCGCATCCTCGACGACTCCCGCTCAAGCAGCGCCTGACACTTCCAGTATCTTGAAAGCGTTGGCAGATATGGCCAAGCAGAACACAACAACGCCAGCCATCCCAGCGACGACTAATCCACTAAATGCATTGAACATGCAGGGTACAGTTTCACAGCCCATGACCTCGTCCGTAGACCAGGCTTCACAAGTTCAAGCTGGACAGGTTGGTGTAAATCCTTATGCCGCTGGCACTATGGCGACGCCGTTCGCGGCTTTGAGTAATCTCGCTCAGAATCCGGCATTAATCCCACCGCAAAGCCAGAGTCAGACTCCTCCGAACCCACTCGCTGCCGCGGCCAATCCCCTGGCCGCGCTACTGCCGCAGGCGACCACAGCCGCAGCTCAGCCGACTCCTAGTATAGCGCCGGACGCCCTGCAGCAGCAGCTGCAGCTCTTGCAGCTTTTAGCCGCACAGGGAATTCCGCAGGAACAGTGGGCTACCGCCCTGCAGATTCTCAGCTTGTCTAATGCTACAAACATGGCCAATGTGAATTCTGGGCAGCCAGTTGGCTTCAACTTACCCAGTCAAACAGCCGCTGCCTGGGTTAGCCGTCCAGATTCGCAGTCACGTGATTTTGATCGAGGGGATCGTGAAAGAGACCGCGACTACATGCGCTCTCCTCCAGGCCAGTATCGTCGCCGATCTCGGTCGCCTGGATGGGACCGACGTCGTGATGTGTCACCCCCTCGTCGCCGTGATAGTCCTGTCTATGGAGAGTATCATGGTGATTCTCCCGGTCGTCGGGGTGAGATGCGCAGTCGACGAGGCAATGATTATCGTCAGCGCAGCCCGCCCGGGCGTAGACGGCGTTCTCCTACTCCCCCTCGAAAGGACCCGACACTGCCTCCTCCAGGCCCTAAATTCATCGAGTGGGATTATTCTATCGGACAAGGAAACATCAAAGGTTCGTAGCACGAATTTCTGGATCAGAGTGTGCTGCATGGGGAGCGTCAGCTAACATCTTTTCGTATAGTTCTGAGCAGAACTCTTTTTGTTGGTGGTGTCACGTAAGTCTACAATTATTCCGAAAAAAGGGTCTTGTATACTGACAAATTTTGCAGATCTTCGGAGGCACATCTGCGATCCTTGTTCGGCAAATTTGGTATTGTCCAAACTTGCATCGTGAACGTCGACAAACGTCACGCGTTTATCAAGATGATTGGTCGTCAGGACGCCGTCGATGCCCGGGAGGGAATGGAATCTTACAAGTCCGGTGACATGCAGCTTAGAGTAAGTTTCTGTTAATAAGTTTGTTGTGTTAGGAAGCGCTCTGACAGAATTAGACTCGATGGGGTGTCGGATTCGGTCCACGAGACTGTAGTGACTATCAGACAGGCATCAGTGTTATTCCAATCGAGCGACTCACGGAAGCAGATCGTAAGTGGATGCTTACCGCTGAATATGGTGGAACAGGAGGGCGACCTATTGAGTCTGGCATGGTGGTTGAGGAACCTGACATTGAAATCGGTGCTGGCGTTTCTTCGAAGGGTAAGAGGTTTTCTTTCTGGTTCCTCGAATTAACGTAATGAAGTCAAGGCTAATTATCTGCCCCTATAGCCATTAGTAGACGGATCGCCACAGACACGGGAGGGAAACGCGGACCGGTGTCGTCCCGCACGCATCAAGATCGATTCCGTCGCCCAGAGCGTGACGGGCAACCGGCTGGGATGGGTCCTGGTGGCCCTGGCCCTCATGAGGGTCGTGATCTCTCGGCGGTCAATAACGTCGGCGTACCCCCTGCAGTGCCTGGGTTCGGATTTTCGTTTCCGGGGATGCACATGTTTCCTCCTGGCTTCATGATGGGAGGGGCACAAGCTGGATCTTCCGGCGGATCAACCCAACCACCACCACCTGGTCAGGGAAGTTAAGCCTTCAAGCCGATTCTCTTCAACACAACAGATCATATCGCGTGGGCAACATTGCATTAGCTTCACCCCTGTACACAGTCTTGTCTTCATCTGGCGACTCAACCACGTTTCGTTTTCCCCTTCTCTTTTTACGTCTCATGTACCATTTCTCTCAAACGGGGTTATCCGGGGGTTTTGAGTTCTCAGGGCCGTTCTAAACATGAATTTTGCTTTACGTCATAAGGGTCTAGCCTAGAATGGCACATTGGCGGGGGACAAGTTGCCTTTATGCTCAAGTCACACTTGCAGTGAGACCATCTCTACCAGAGCAAAAACAGCACTCGTCAAGATATGAGAAGTGAGAGTTGGTTGCATGAAGCTGGATACTGCCATTGTATCATGGCTATTCTACCTTCCGCCCATCATATCGACCTTCCACTGCTGGTGTTGATATGCATTGAGCTCAAGTTGGGTTGAGACTGAGGTGGCTCTTGCGGTGTAGTAGCGGTGTTGTGCCGTTACCTGTCTTCCTGCGTTCACACCAAAGAGAATCAACTCGAGCAGTTACCCTTTGCTCTGTATTTCTTTGTTCAGCTCATTATTTTGCTGTCTTTTCTTCTCTTTTCGTCGTATGATGGGGTCCATTTTTTCTAGCTCGACTCTACTACATTTGAGTACCCAATTCAGTAGTAATCTCTGATACCGAGGACAACTTTGATGTACTTCTGTTAGCTCCTTCGTGCGACTTTGTCGTCCAGCAATGGACCAATTCTGCCACACGCCGACAACACGGCTGACAATTTTCTCCGAGGAGGGGAATAGTAGCCAGTTGCTTCGTAGAACACCGCTCTTCATCAATCCTCTTCGCGGCAACACTGCGCTTACATCGACGAAGAAAGTCTACATTGACCTCATATTGCAAAGCAATGAATTTCAAAAAGCCTATTCTGCTTGGTATCATATGTTCATCGCACATCCTCTTCTGCCTTTTGGCGTTCTCCTTTTATAATAGACGTAAGGTTACACTCTACTTTGTGAGTGCAGCACTGGAGGCCTTGAAGGATTGTTCAAAATCGGCAATGATGTCGTCAATATGTTCAGTGCCCACCGAAATGCGGATAGCATCTTCAGTGACACCAGAGTCCAGCCGCTCTTGCTCCGTGAGCTGTTCGTGGGTGGTAGACCAAGGGTGGATGGCCAGAGTCTTTGAATCCCCAACACTTTTGCAAAAGGATTAGCACGCGTTCGGGCAGCGAGCAAGCAAAGTTTTGGGGGCCAGGAATACTCACTTTGCCAGGTTGGAGATCAGCTTGAAGTTGTCAACTACCTGACTACCGGCAGCTGCGCCTCCCTTGACTCCAAATGACAGTACGCCACCGAAGCCGCGCTTCAGGTAACGCTTAGCGATTTCATGGCTGGGGTGAGATTCGAGACCGGGATACGAGACCCAGCTCACGTGCTCGTTCTTCTGCAGCCAGGTAGCCAGGGCAAGGGCATTGCTTGCATGTCGTTCAGCGCGCAGACTCAGAGTCTCCAGACCAAGCAGAAGCTGCTGAGCGGCAAATGGGTTCAGTGCCGATCCCAGATCACGAAGGATCTCAACCCGGACACGGATAGCGAAAGTGATAGGTCCAAATGTTTCCCAGAACTTCAACCCGTGGTAGCCCTCGGACGGTTCGGTGAATTGGGGGAATCTGTCAGCGTGCTTACCCCAATCAAATTTACCGCTGTCGACAACAACACCGCCAATGGTGGTTCCATGACCACCAATCCACTTGGTTGCGCTGTGCACGACGATGTCAGCACCGTGCTCGATGGGACGGAAGAAGTAACCGCCAGCGCCGAAAGTGTTGTCAACCTAGAATAAAGGCGAGCGCGATCAGAGATAGTCTTCCCGCATTTCGACGAAGCCAAACTCACCACGAGAGGAACGCCCTTATCGTGAGCGACCTTAGCGATGGCCTCAAAATCGGGTACATTGTACCGGGGATTGCCAATAGTTTCGACATAGACAGCCTTGGTGTGGTCATCAATGGCGGCGGCGATGTCCTCTGGCTTGTCTCCCTGGACAAACTTGGTTGTGATACCCAGACGAGGAAGAAAGACCTTCAATTGGTTATAGGTACCGCCGTACAAGTTGCTAGTAGCTACGATGTTGTCGCCAGCGTGAGCAAGCGCGGCGATGGCCATGAACTGTGCAGCCTGGCCGGAAGAAGCTGCAACGGCTGCCACACCCCCTTCGAGGGCGGCGACGCGCTTCTCGAAAACATCAACAGTAGGCTGGAGCAAAATGGCGGTTGTGAGCAACTCGACCCAACCCGGCTGTGGAGAATTACTCACGTTCATTATACGGCTGTAGATGTTTCCGAACTCCTTGAGGCCAAAGAGTCTAGCGCCATGAGCAGAGTCATTGAATGTGTATGACTACGCCTCGAGATCAGCGGGGGAATGAACTAGGAGAGTAGAAGAGAGACGGGACCAACGGTAGTAGCATAGATTGGCACTGCCCGCGAATTGGTAGTAGAGTCCGGTTCATGACTTGGTGACTTGTCAGTATTGCCATTGAGATAATGAGCGGTCCAGATTTCTATGTTTATTTTACCCAGCATGGAGTTGGAGCGTTTCAAAATGAGGTGTTTGCGACATGGCGTAGGTTTAAGGATTGGGTATCTGCTACTGGAATTGGACGCCCTTCTCGCACGATATATAGTGCAATCGAGAATCGACAGGTTAAGGTAGATAGAGATGAGGGCGAAGAGGGAGGGCCAACACTGCAGATTGAAGGGGAAGGAAGAAGAAAACGCAAAAGAGGGGAGTATTTAAAGCGGGGGAGGAATATTCAGAAGAGTATATAGAAGTATCGATATGGTATCTTGGGTTGTGCACTGGGGTAGCGCCGATGGCGTGATTGAGGGACTGGACACTGGAGCTGGGAGAGGGAAAAGGCGTTACGAGAAAGCATCAATAACAAGAATTAATCATTCAGAAAAAAGTGTGGAATAAAAAGACCTTATGATTGCTTTTCAGTGGAGTCTGATGATTTTGATCCAGAGATGTATATGTACAGCTGTGGGAGAATTAATACATAGCAATGGTTGAAGATGATGCTGATGGGTATGTGCCTTAGGTACTCCCCGTACGTGGAAAGGTACTAGAAATAAAGGTGTTCATACAAGTGGCCAGATATTTCCTGGATATAGCAATCATTGTGTTAATTGATTCTTGTTGACAGAGATTAAAGGCTCGGACCTGATAAATATCAATATTTCCAAAAAAAAAAAAAAAGAGGAAAGGAAGTAAAAGGGCACAGCTTCAATGGTTGAGGATGCTGGATGTTTTGGACTGTATGGTGGATACGAGAGACTGTAAGAAAGAGGGGCAGAAGATTCATCATAAAGGTATTTTCGGCGCTGATAAGATTGAATTGTAGTACATGGACTCTTGTCCAAAGTATACAAACCACGTATCAAAATGAAATAGAACCCTTAACACTTATTCTCATTCTCGAGGTAATGAATAGATGGAACGTAGGAGTAACATTCTCCAGCCCTGAGTCTGGGGAAGCTGATGATTGATGATTCACATTGATGAGTTAGCATCTCAAGGCACAAGGGGTCGACCATGGGTCTTAGACAGGTAGCAATACCATGGCATCTTCGACGTCAACCACATGCTTTCCATCATGTGAGACGGCGGGGGTCAATTAAGATTCACTCAGTCTATCGTGGCGCTCCTAGACTCCTACAGAGGGGCATAGAATGTCACTTTTGAACTTATTCTCCTCATGATACATCCTTGTTGTTGAAGGTTCCTTTGCCGAGGCGCATGTCGTCATAGGGCAGAAAGTTGCTTAGCCTTGTGCCATCTAGAGAGGTATGCCCGTTACTAGGTATCATCGATCCGATCACAAGGCCCCCATAACACAGACGTCCAATGAGCAGTCCTACCACTCTGAAGAATAAAGGGTAAGACAGAAATGACTTAGGTTATAGATAGTACACAACAGAAAGACTAGGGATCGACGCCAATCATAATGTTCGCACCATGCAGTTTTACCAGCGTACAAAAAACCAGGCGGAAGCATTAGCAGAACCGGCATTTGACTGTGACGTTTGTGGTCATCAGCCATGTATTTAAAGCGAAGAGACTACACCAGCGGTCAAGATCCTTCTGTGTTATCCTTCCTGATGTATATGTACCTGACGAGCTTGGAGTTCTCTTTCTATCAAAGTCTGTAGTCGTTGCTCCTCCAACAAACTTGAACAATAATATCTTCCCCAATAAAGGTTTGTCTCATACCCACCTGTCCAGTCCGCCCCCTGTCACAGGAGGAACTTTGATGCCAACAGTGGTCTTTTTATGGGACGGGATTATGGCGATGATCTTGGCTGAAAAGAGTATACAAGTCACGGTCATGGCTTTTCCCAGCGCCCTTTAAGTACGAGCGAATGTCCAGTCCGCTCCAATCTCTCCCTCCATTTTCACATGCCCGAGATTCGGTTTTGAAGAGATCGGCTGATTGACTATATAGGTCAGAAGAAGCAGGGCCTTTCTTCTCTCGCTCGTCACATCTGGATGCAATAATTTACTCGCACCACTTACACATCCAGCAGTGATCATTTTTCATTATGGCTTTGAACTTTCCTTGGATTTATCCTGTTCGCGTAGCCCAGGCAGCGTTCGCGATCATCGTTCTCGGATTGACAGCATATGGTAGGCCTATGCTCGCCCTGTTGTGCTGATGGAAGACTTGACTAACACCCTAACAGCTGTTAGTGTAGTCCGCTGGAGTGACACCGTCAATTTCATGCTTTTCAATGGCGTCTGGACTGCCTTTGTTGCAACGCCCTATCTTGCGCTGGCCCCGGTTTTCTTTCCCCAACTGGCGCATCGTTTTGTCATCCCAGCTGTGGAAATCGTGACCATGATTTTCTGGTTTGCAGGGTTTATTGCGCTTGGTGTTTTGCTTCCATCTCCGGATTACTGCCACTGGGGTCAATGCAGGGCATTGCAAGCTGCAA